GTATCACCTGCAATGGTTTGCGTTTTTTTTCGACCTACTTACATAACAGAAATCAGTTTGTTTTTTTTTTCAGGGAAGTTCATCTTCTGAATTTGTTGTATCTTCAGGGGTTCCCCAGGGTTAGAACCTTGACCCTTTATTGTTCACAATCTTCATTAATGACATCGTTAACAGTGTGTTGAATAGTAAAGTCCTTCTTTATGCTGATGATCTAAAGATCTTTTTAGAGAAATAAACGACGTTAGTGATTGTCTTCTATTGCAACCAAGACCTGGATAGACTAGTGGCTTGGAGTGATGTGGGTTTAAAATTCCATTCAGATAAATGTTTTGTTGTCAGTTACACCAGACGCACTCACAACGCTGTTAACTTCCAATATTCCATGAATGTTAATTTACTAAATAGTCGAAGTAGTGTCACAGATCTTGGTGTTACAATTGATAGCAAGTTGTGTTTTTCTAATCATGTAATCGAGTCTTGTAGATCAGCGTATCGAATTCTTGGCTTCATATTCAGATCAGGAAGTTGTCTCAAACTTTTATATTGCACCCTGGTACGGCCTAAACTTGAGTTTGGAGCAACTGTGTGGTATCCTCATCAAACCTATCTTGTCAACATGATTGAGCAAATACAAATCAAATTCCTTAGATATTTATTCTTCAAGAAGTTTGGATACTTCACATTTGATGTATCTTACCATACTCTTTTAAACTTGTTTGAAATGGTCAGTCTAAAGCAACGTCGTGATATGGGGATGCTTATCTTTCTACACAAACTACTCAATGATAAGGTTGATGACAGCGAGCTCTTATCTCGTTTAGCATTCCTTGTTCGCCGACCCTCGTCCAGAGCCCGCGCGTTGTTCAGTCCGTCCTTCTCACGGACTTGCCTAGGGGCTCAATCACCTATCAACACGATGATGAGACTATATAATTTAATATCAAACAACGTTGATATTTTTAACTCGAGCCTAGCCTCTTATAAAAAATCTTTAATCTCTCATAATGGTTAATGTTATTTATTTCTCTCACCTTCATCAGTTATCAGTTATCTTGTGTCTCATGTTTTGTTTCTTATCTTAATTATTTATCTTATTTATTCGCGTTAGTCTTAGTCACTCTTATTTATTGTTACTTATTGCTACTATTATTTATTGTTGTTGTTATTTAATCTATACTATTATATAAAAATCTAGTGGTGTCTGTCTGTATGTGTATTACTAATAGGTGCAAAAACTACTGAACCAACTGGGCTTAAATTTTACAAAAATATAGCTACCATACCAAGGACCATTATAGGACTATTCACATTTCGATACTGACCGTAGGCTTTTGCCCCTTTAGCTTTAAAAATGCTGAGGTGAACATTTTAAAAGTAAATATTGATTGGTCTCCATGGCTGTGATGAGAACACTAACAATGTTTGTTTACATTTGCTTTGACATTTAAATATAAACAAGAAGAACTGCTAAACTGCACATTTCACAATTTCAGACAGCTGATACAAAGAAATTAAATTTAATATTTTCCATAAATATGAGGTAGGTTTATTTTAATCTAAACTTTTATCATAGATTATTTATTCTAAAACTATGTCAATGATTATGGAAAAAAAAGATTTTATAACCGTTGCTGTATCAACTTCGGCTCTGCTTTGGATTTTTTAAAGCGTCTTAAGTTAATAATCTTAAGTGAAAATAATGTTATTGATACGTTTTCATGGAAACAGTATGAAAATTATAATGTATAGATAGATGTTTTGTATGGATTTGGAGGCTACTTTAAATAAATTCTAACTGCTTCACATGTGTTTGATTAACTTAACATAACTTGCACATCACATTGTTTTTTATATGTACATTTAGGTAAATTAAGTTATTGTGTTTTGCTAAACCTATGCTTAAATTTAACTAAAGAATATCATCAATAACTAAATTGTCGTTGATTTTTGTTTTCTAAAAGCTGTTGTATATGTGTAACTATATTTAATTATCAAATGGTAATACAAAATACTCTTATTTTATCTTAACATAGCTTTCAGTTCACATTTACTTTATTTGATACATTTATTATTTGTGTTTTGCCACACCACTGATTAAATTAAACCAAGGAAAATATCAAAATACCCCCGCCGCAGCAAACCTGCAGACTAAGCGAATTTCCATTTGCCTGATTGGATTTACACTAAAATGTCTCCTTAAAAATATTTCATTTATTCCCTATTTAAATAGCATTAGTTTAACAAGTACTTAGGTTTGCTGCAACAGGGAGGGTGGTAAAAAAGTGTTTTTTGTACAATGTTAATAGTTTAGTATGAAATGAATGCATTTTCCAAATTTGATCAAAATATGCTCATAAACAAGCAAACTACAACAGTTTACAATTTCCTCCATAAGAATAACATGGGAATTTTAAATTTACAATTTTTTGAATTTTCTCCGTAGCCATTAGGCGCATAATAACGCTTCAATATACTAAATTATTTGTTTTTTTATGTCTACAAAATGGTTTGGAAAGAAATTGCTAAATTTTATGTTTTTAGGGTAAAAAATGGGAAAAACCAATTTTTACCCCATAAAACCCCCCATAAACCCCTCTTCCCATAGTCCGATCATGCTGGTTCGCGAACTCTTTCGAATAAACGTAGGTTTACACATTTGTACCACATTTCATAAAAATCGGATGATTTTTGCTCGAGTTATCGCGCTAACGGACACATATATTGAAATAAACCCTTAATATGGTTTATATTCTAATCTTATCTTAAACAATAATAATTTGAGGACAGAGGTTTTAAAGCATGAACTTCTTCATTTAATGGTACATAAGTTAAATGATTAATATAGGGTTACAAAAAATTGTTCAGGGGTGGGGATTCGTGCTGGCCGAATCAAAAGATTTCCAATTTAAATTTTCAATGAGTATGGTAAATTATAAATTTAATAATCTTTCAAAAAACAATAAATTAAATAGAAAGGATTTTGATTTTAATTAATGGAAGTAAATAGGGTCCAAATGGATGCTTGAGGAGTCTATAAGTTAGTCTGAGTTAATAAATGGAATGTTCTCACCAATCTTCTGTAATAATAATTTTCTTCTTAGTTTAAAGGCTTAAATTCTTCTTTCTTCGGTTAACTTAATTTGGATATTTTGCCAATACTTTACTTTATATTTTCACAATTTATTTCACAACTAATATAGTTTCTATGTGCTCTTCTTGAATAGCTAAACTGCACTCTCCTTTTCATTGTTGTAAATCATATCAAGTTATGGGGTTCACATAAATAAAAACATGGTTGTATTTTATTAATAATCTTGAACCCAGATGGATGGTGTTCTGATTGGAGGATTTGTTTTTGAATAATAATTTTTGAATAAGCCAATGAATACATTTTTGATTTTAAATTATATATATGTTGAGACAATATGGTTTTAATAATATTAAAAATGGACATGAAATATTGAAAATATAACAAGATTGAGTTTGAAAATAAAATAAGGACTATAATTATAAACATTGAATTTTGAGTCATTACAATATCCCCTCAGAAAATATGTAATTAAATTTTTAATGACATATTTTCGCTAAATGACGAAAAATATATTTAACATTATACAGCAAATAACAAATATTGAGATGAAATTGAGTTGAAACAAAAATCTAACAAACTTAACATTAAGGTTTAACTAGAACAAATTTCAGTTGGAATGAACATAACAATAAAATAATTCTAAAATAGCAAAATGATTACTATCCCCTCCTATCTTCTACAAACATTAAAAAAAACATAACATTAATTTAAGTGGTTAAAACAATTTTTTTTATTTTTTACATAATAAATGAATGGAGTGATGAACAAATGTTGAAATATGAAATGAACATGAGACATATAAGAGATGTATGATTCTTATAGGTACCATGGAGTACATTAAATGAATAGTTGTTTGTGATTGCTTGATGATAACCTCTTATAACTAAATACATTAAATTTGTGATTATGACTATAGTTTAACTATTGGGACAGAGGTAACTGGAGAAATTGGCTTGTTCACTCACTGCTTGTGTGGGTATGATTTAAAATTCTTCCCTTTTACAGCAATGTTTATAGGGTTAAGCACACATTACAGTTTATCTTCTATCTTCGGTTATGGTGTGTAGATCGGTTCAATGTATTTCTTCATGGAGGATATATATGATAGGGTCCATATAATTTATCATTGTAGAGATCACTTATGTGGTATGTTGATCGTCCAAGTATTGGGGAAATCGGTTTGAAGGTCTTCATGTAATTGTGGGTCTGTGGTTCTTTCTTGGGTAAGTGATATTCTTTGTACATTGTAAAATAGTTTTCTTCATTGTTATAGTAGTTATCATATGGCCTTTGGCAATTGCTTATATCTATTTGACATACTTGTCCCATTTTAATACTCATATCACATTTTGGATTAATATCAGTATCATTAATTGTTAAGCTTAATTTATTTTCATTGGAATCTATCTTTAGTCGGAGTTCTGTTAATGTGTCCATACCAAATATCACAGGTTTAATTAAATTAGGTATGATAAGAAATTGAAGCCAGATGGTCTGATGTTTAATGGTTACAGGGGCATAAATGATTCTTGCAACACACGTTTTGATTTTTCACCAGTAGCTGTAGTTATTGTCGTATTAGACAAAGGAAGTTCTTCAAATGGTTGAATTATTTTTTGATTCTCTTTGAAACATTGTTCGGAAATACATGTTATTGTAGAACCAGTAGCGATTAATGCTTTTGTTGGGAGATTATTGATTCTAATATCTATTTCAGGGCATTTAACTGGTTTGGATACAGGAAATTTATTATTTTCAGTGGGTTCATTTAATAAAAAATCTTGATCACACATTATATTATTTATCGAAAAATTGTTAGGGTTATTTAAAGAATTATTTTCGAGGATATTTGCTGTTGATATCGCTGTAGTTGTTATGATGTTGGTAGTTGATGGTCCTCGGCTTACATCTACAGCGACGGGTCGTTTCCCTGGCTGGTGTATGAGGGGTTGAAATTTGTTGGAGATCTTTGTTGTGTTGCTGTGTCATGTGGACTGTCTTGACTTATCATGGCACATACTTGTTTTTGCTCATTTGTAGGATATGGTTTGCTGTTATTGTAATAGTATTGATTAGGCCTTTGGTGGTATCGGTTTTGATCAGTGAGCGTATTGGTATAAGGATGCTGTCTGTGGTTTTGATTGTAGTTTTTGCGAGGATCATGTCTGAAACGGTTGTATGGCTGATATTGGTGTTCTCTAGGTTCTTGATGTTCTTGGTGTGGTGTCCGTATAGCATAAGATGATGTTTTTGGTTGATAGGCTCGATGGTTAATATCAGAGCTATATGGTGGAGTCTTGTTACGATGTAAAGGACTATTTGGTCGGTGATCCATATTATGGTAGTTCGCAGGTTTGCTCCTTTTGGGTCCATCTCGGATATCTTCTTTTTGCAGAAGTCTTTCGAATGCTCGAATTGTTGTCACGTTCTGTACTTGAATGCTATCTTGGATGAGTTGATCAAATCGTTCGCTTAACAGGATCACTATTTCCTCTTCAGTCATTTGTGGTGTAATAGACTGTAGCAATAGGACTCTCTCAGTAAAATATTCAGTTCTGTTGAGCGTTCCATTAGGTTTGTAATGTTCGGCTTCAATCTTGCTACGTACTCCTCTTTGTACTTCACGGCTCCAGTATTTCATGGTGAATTCTTCGGAGAATCTTTCCCAACTGTTAATGTCTGCCTTAACCAGTTGAAGCCATCTGGACGCTGGTCCTTCAAAACTGACGTCGAGCAGATCTTTCAGAATTTCAACAGGGTCGTTATTAGGATTTCTTTCTATCCTTTTAGCGTAGAACCGTTTAAGTTTTTGTAGATATTCATTTGGATTTATAGTTCTTCCATTGAATTTAGGGATTTGTCTTTCCATTGGGTCAGATCCCGAACATATGATTTGAATAGGATTGTCGTTCCGGATTGGTGAATGATGTTTCAGTTTTAGTGACTGTACTTCACTTTCACATTTGTTTAGAGTTTCAGTAATAGTTTTAATTTCGTTTTGTTGTTCTTGGATAAGATTATTTTGTATGTGTAATTTAGGAACAATTTCATTGTGGATGGATTGTGCATAATATTTAGCAATATTTTCACTGTCGGTTTTTGTTTGTAGCACTAATGCTTTCATATTTTGTTCTAACTTTTGTTCTTGTTGTTCCAAGTTATTAGTTACAAATGTCTGGATATTTATTTTTGATTCGTCAATTTGATTTGTGATTTGAAATTGAAATTCTTTGTTTTCTTGATTTTGGGACTGTTGGTTAACTTTTAGGACATTTAATTCCTGGCGAAATTCACTTTGTGTTGTTCTAATGTCATTTATTTGTTCTGTTAGAATTTTTTGACATGATTTTATCTCACGGTTTAGCTCTATTCGGGTCTGATCTAATTTTTGGTTTAGTTGTGTGTTGGTTTGATCAAGTTTAGTGTTAAACTGTTCTAGAAAATTAAATATTTTGTTCAAATCCGGTTGTTCAGTAGTTTGCGTAGCTTTAGCTTCAGGTGTTTGAGAAGTTGCGTGCGGGAGTGTTGGGATTACGTCATTGGGACGGTTTTCAATGGTCGGAGACTCGGTCTCTAACAGCTGGAAACTTGCTTCGGGCGTCTTCGTTAACCCTCGGATGATTCCGTGTGTCGATGTGGTTCTAATATCAGCTGACTGTGAATGTGTGCTTTGATTGGCTGCGGGTCTTTGGTGTACTTCAATAATCTCGGCCCGGTCCGTTGATTCTGATTGGTCGCTCTCGTTCCGGTTCAAATCTTCGACACTGGGTCCACTGGGATTGAAACGTTCCGAACCCGAACCGGTGTTAGATTCATCTTGGCCTTCTACATAGGTTAGGTTTTCCATTTCTTCTGTTGACAGATTTGACGATTCGTCTGATTCATGTTGTTGAAATGATAATGCAGGATAACGTCTCGGTTGTCTCAAATTATAGTGATTATCGTTATCGTTGTTAGCCATTTTGTTTACGACGGTGTAAGGGAACAGGGATATTATAGGACAAGTTGGGTATCGTTATAACAATAATGAGCTAGGCCTAAGCTTTACGACATGAAATAAATCTGTTTTACCTTATAGTAGCCTATTTATTTTTAGAATTACAAGTCGTTTAGTTAGTACCTAATATTGGTGGGACATAAGTTGTGGGAAATCGGGATTCTTAATCCTACCTAACTTCTTAAGAGTAGGCCTAACATACGTAAGTAGCCTATTAGCCTATTGGTATTTATTAGCCTATTTTAGATTGTCTCAACATACGATTATGAAATCTTTTGATTCAAGCCTATTACGTTGGGCGCCATTGAAATAAACCCTTAATATGGTTTATATTCTAATCTTATCTTAAACAATAATAATTTGAGGACAGAGGTTTTAAAGCATGAACTTCTTCATTTAATGGTACATAAGTTAAATGATTAATATAGGGTTACAAAAAATTGTTCAGGGGTGGGGATTCGTGCTGGCCGAATCAAAAGATTTCCAATTTAAATTTTCAATGAGTATGGTAAATTATAAATTTAATAATCTTTCAAAAAACAATAAATTAAATAGAAAGGATTTTGATTTTAATTAATGGAGGTAAATAGGGTCCAAATGGATGCTTGAGGAGTCTATAAGTTAGTCTGAGTTAATAAATGGAATGTTCTCACCAATCTTCTGTAATAATAATTTTCTTCTTAGTTTAAAGGCTTAAATTCTTCTTTCTTCGGTTAACTTAATTTGGATATTTTGCCAATACTTTACTTTATATTTTCATAATTTATTTCACAACTAATATAGTTTCTATGTGCTCTTCTTGAATAGCTAAACTGCACTCTCCTTTTCATTGTTGTAAATCATATCAAGTTATGGGGTTCACATAAATAAAAACATGGTTGTATTTTATTAATAATCTTGAACCCAGATGGATGGTGTTCTGATTGGAGGATTTGTTTTTGAATAATAATTTTTGAATAAGCCAATGAATACATTTTTGATTTTAAATTATATATATGTTGAGACAATATGGTTTTAATAATATTAAAAATGGACATGGATAAATATTGAAAATATAACAAGATTGAGTTTGAAAATAAAATAAGGACTATAATTATAAACATTGAATTTTGAGTCATTACAATATATAAATATATATACAAATATATATATATAAATATATATATATATATATATATATATATATATATATATATGAATTCGAACGTATGGTGTTTTTGGCCTCTAGGGACCTCAAAACGAAAAAGTAAATTGGTCCCGGGTCCAGGTCTTACCATGAGTACTACGGTAATAGCTTATTCCCTATATGGGAAATTCGCTAAAGCTAAGCAGTACACAGTGTTTCTTTGTTTCTAAAAACAATGAAATATCTGTTACTATGTTTTTTTAATGGTAAGTGTGAAAATGGAAAGGCAATGGACGATGGAACTGATTAAAAGAACTGGTTTGTATATTAAGTTGTTTGTTGATATTTGTATATGGTAGAATCAGAGATGCAATGAAACATATACTGTATTTGCTATTTAATTTTTTAGTCCTTGATGCTTTGATAATCATATTAGTTTTGTCTGCTGTCTTTAATGATAAATTATTTGTTTGAAATTTTTATAGTACCTATAGATATAGTTTCTTTAATATTTCAAAAGACTTTATTGATAAGACACAGCAATATTTCTAAAGTTTATAACAGCTGACTTAGTTTTGCTAATGATTTATTGTGAGTGAAAAAAACTGAAGATGAAAGGATTTGTGATGTAATATAAAGAAGAATTTAATATAAAGATATTTAAATTTAATAATTAGTATTTTTGCAACTTCAAAATTGAAATTTAAAATGTCAATAATAAATTAAAAGATGTGTAATTAAGGGAGATGAAAGTAAATCTGGTAAATCATGTATGTCAAAGTTTTACTCGAAGATTTGGTCAGTTTTTCTCATATCAGCCTACACAAGATTTAATTAATCAAAACCAAAATGGTGGTAACCACTACTTACCAGATTTAAAAGTCATAACTTAAACGTTTCTATTAAGACCATAAAAGTTGAATTTTGTTTCTAAAAGCGTTGGCGGATGTGTAACTATTATATGCAAGAGATAAAGATTAACATGTTTCTATTTTGTGTCCTCTTCCCGTTGCAAAGCACGGGTACAACAGCTAGTAATTAATATTTATTATTCTTAGTCTATGAACGATTCACTGTATTCAATTTTATGAACTCATAGCATGTTCTCAATTTTTGTACAAACTAGAATAGTGCTGCAATGTAAATGGGATTTGTATTCTGTTTTGTAGCATGCAAAATAAAATCAAATAAAATAAAATAAAATAAAAATAAATACTCGGAGAGAGCTTTGCCTGTTAATTAGTAGGCAGCACCACCAGCATACAATGCAACCAGCATAGCAATACTGGTGGCACTGCCTATGAATTGACAGGCAAAGCTCTCTCCTAGTAGGGCCTACTTAATACTGTTTAACACGCGTTGATCAATCTGTGTAATAGTAGTATGTTTTCTGATGTGTTTGCGAATACAGTAACAACAGACCAGGGTTGAGTGAAAATTTTGAAACGTACGTTTTAATGTCCCTGGTCTTTTACTTAGTAAATACTGTATTTGTAGTATATTATTATGTGTTTTAAAAATGTTTGGGACGGGGCAACATGTTACAAACATTTATTTGGTTTTAAGTAGGTTCTAGGTATTTTGTTCGTATTTTTAAAGTATCAAAATTCACGACCATCACGTGTCCCTAAGGTACATTTTTCAACTTTCACGCTGTTTTTAGACTAATTATTCATGCCGAAATTTAACTTACAAAAAAGGAGCATATAATAATTTTGTTTTCATTGAAAACTGACTACCTACCATGACAAAATAGGTCTGTCCCTCGATTTGACGTCCCGACCATAATTGCAAAATTTGCAACTTTGGAACACGACAGTGGCAATCCTGGCAGCGATAACATCAGTTGGTTTTAGTTTTAGAGACTGGTTCGGGATGTGAGTTAGTTTTATTGTGCCGGTTGTTTTGCAGTAACAAAAATGAAGTACAAGATTAATATAGGTAACTTTGTGCTTTTTGTAATTTTGGTGTGTCTACGACCGTACGTAGTCATGTAATAAAGTAGACAGGTGTTAATTTTTGTTGATATTATATTTTAATTGCTACGTTAACCTAGAAATCCACTTTGCCCCCTCAAACATGAGTTGCAAGGCTGCCACCAGAACAGAGCCAAATAATACGTGATTTCACGACCATGGCATCACAACCATCACAGGGTTTTTCACGACCAGATAGCTTTATCAATTGTACTGTGTTATGGTCGTGGAAATGAATTTTTAATATCATTGTAAATTGCACAGTTTAGTTTAATTGCAACACAATTGTTTCTTATAATAATAAAATTAATTGAAGGATGTAAAAAATTTAGATTTTAACTATTTTTACATAGACAGGTATCTTTATTGCCTCATATAGGTCAAAGGTTATAGTGGATAGGAGTTATGTGTAAAACTATAACATTTTGAAAATTAATTATGGTTTATTAAGTCTTGTGGGATATTATAATAATATGATAAGAGAAGTGGAAGGAAAACCTAAAAAAACAATATAGTGATACACTCGTTAATCGTTAATCACCAATTCTAGACCGTAACGCTTGTCCCTGACCACAACAATGATGATTTGGATCATAAAAAATTTAAAAATTGATATATCATATTCCAATGTTTTATACACACAAGAAGGATGCCTCTTTAAAGACATAAAGGTTTTTCATACCTATATCGGGAAGGTTTGTTCGGAGCTCTACAAACTTAAAGAGATTTTTTAAATTTTTTTCTTTTTTTTCTTTTAGAAATACCAAATATACCAAAAGCTTAGTGAGCTGTTTATTGCAAAATGGCCCTAAAACTAAATCTATTTACAGCAAAACATATTTATAAAAATACCATAAATTATTTTTAGTATTCATTTTTACGTTAGCTATGGTCGTGACAGAATTTTGTGTTTTTCCGTCAAAGACGCTGTATTAATAAAAAAAAAACACCAAAGAAATTGCGTTACCATAGGCATTTTATGAAACTTCAATTGGCAATGAAATAAAAAAAATCAAAAACGTTCCGAAAAAGAAAAAAAATTATTATAAAGTGCTTTTCTTGAAAACGTACGTTTTTAAATTTTCACTCGTAAATAATTTGAATCTGCACTCTTTGCTGATGCTGAGTTGGGAAATTTGTGTGGACTTTCTAGATTAAGGACAAAAAGTTACCACCCAATGTGCAAATGGCAGGGTGGCAGTGGGGGGTCTAGCACAGTCACAAGGGGGGGGGGGCAAACGGTGGGTATGGGGGTTTCGGGGTACCCCCTAAAAAAATTGTGCAAACTAAGTCTCCTAAATGGCAGTTTTATACCATTTCTTTGTCCAAAGTTAGTGTGACAAATTATTTTACACAATGTTTATGTACTACTGTACAGTGTACATGCAGTAACAATAATATATGTATGTATGCCCAAGGGGCGACAACTCAAGGCGGCCATATTGTACCACACCGCCTCCACGTGGGTGGAATCCTTATCCACAGTGCTTCTTGGAATAAGAAATGCTTTCCGTGTGGATCTGAACACCTCGTCTGCAGAAATGGTGTAACGCCTCCCCTGTGAGTATTTTATGCCAACAACCAAGCCGGCACCACTAGAGGATGCTACTCATTTTGTGTCTCTGTCTCGATTACGAGTCAAGATTTCCTCAATAAAACCAACAATTATCAAGAGACTATCGGCATCAACCGAAGCTTCATTTTTCGTTATTTGGACACATGTTTGCACGTTTTTCTGAGGGTGGATGCTATGATAAAATCTTTACAACATCCATACACTGGATCTCATCCAGTGATCAAGAAAGATGGTAAAACCTTCACAATAAAACTGAATGGTTCTAATGTTAAATTTTAACATTATT